AGTAGTGGATCCTCAGTGTACATGTCATGTAGCGGAACCGATTTACTGTCTAAACGGTGGAACTCCTTTGTTAGCTGGAACATCACTGCAAAACGGCGAGATTGTTGGAACCGAAAGGTGCGAGTGTCCTCCCGGGCTTGAGGGTCCAAGGTGTGAGCTCCTGGACATCGCGTTCCACGGTGACGGCTGGGCTGTGATGCCCGCGTTGGAACAAGCTTGTGATGACAACCACCTGGGTGTGGAACTTAAGACTTATCATGAATACGGATTGATTTTTTACGTCGGACCTATGATGTACAGCAAATTCGGGGTTCAAGATTTCATGGCCGTGGAACTGCAGAAAGGTTACGCGGTTTTGTATATTAATTACGGAAGTGGAACACTTAGGTTGCAGCACACTCAGATTAAGATTAGTGATGGTAAGGAACATCGCCTTGACATCTACTGGACAAAGTCTGCGGTAGAATTGAAAGTCGATAACTGTGGAAGTTCCTCGTGTTTGTGTCTCGGAGGACCGCCAACTGGTAACGGGTTCCTCAATGTTAACTCGCCAATACAAATTGGCGGGAACGGAATGGTAAACACGGACTTTTACGAACTTAGCGAGCTCTATAATTGGACTGTCACGCCAACAGACCGCGGGTTCTATGGATGCATCCGGAACATGACTATCAATGGTAATACTTATAATTTCGGGAACTTGGCGCTGGCAAAAAATGCCTACGCTGGATGCGACAGTGGAATGGCCAAGGCGGTGTCATTCTCGCTGGACACAAACTTCTGGGTGGTGATTGCCGTTTGTTTGATCATCTTGTTCCTGCTGGTAGTTGGAATCTTCGCTCACAGAAGAAGAAGCGATGAGCATTACAAAGACATGGACGACATTAGGGAGAATATTATTAACTATGAAGACGAAGGTGGCGGCGAACAGGACACTGGGTATGATCTCAATGTTCTCAGGAGGATCTACGACTCCCCGAGCGTCCTAGGTGGCGGTAATGGTGGCATTGACGCCAAGTTAGCCTCGGTTATCAATCAGGGCAAAGCCGGGGAAGAGATTCCTGATATTTGCAGCTTTCTTGACGGAAAGAAGTCCAATTGTGATAAGGACCCAGATATCAATCCGTTTGATGATGTCAGGCATTATGCGTATGAGGGAGATGGAAATTCTGATGGGTCGTTGTCGTCATTGGCTTCTTGCACTGATGATGGTGATCTTAAGTTTAACTACTTGTCGAACTTCGGACCCAGGTTCAGGAAATTGGCGGATATGTATGGAGAGGAACCTAGTGATGATGATGATGACGACGATGATGATGATGATGATGATGATAATGGGCCCGATGTTGATGTTGATAATGATAGTAATATTAATGGAGACGCTTGCAGGCGCAGGAGGTTCCGGCAAGATGATCATGGGAGTAATGCTGATAGGCCTGCGCCAATGCCTAGAAGAAATCCGGGGAATGATGAGAGAGAGAGTGAGAGTTGGTGTTGAGTTTATTGTGATTATTACTAGGGTTGGTAAGAGTTTTTGTGATTTTTATGGTCTTTTTTTGGTCATAGGAAGTTTTTTTATATTAATTATAGAAATTTTCAGAAGAATTGTAAACTTTTTTAATTCTATTAGCAGCCATTTTGTTTAGCAAAGTAAAGAATAGTGCGCACTGATGCGCGCGCAACAATAGTACCAACTGTTAAAAATTTGTGGTTATTAATGGTGACATTTGGCTATAGTAAAAAGTATGGTTATGTTTATTATAAAAAAACAATTAAATCTGTCATTAATATTAGAATTAATAAGTATAAAATTGACAGCTGATAGTTTCTAGGATTTTCTTTAATATAAATTATATAAAAAAAAAATTTTATTGAAAAATTCCACTTACAGATATTTCAAAAAATTAATGTAATTTTTTTTTTAAATATTTTCTTAGTAATTTATTTGTTAAAATTCTAAAAACAGATGTTTGCTAATTTCAGTTTATCAAAACAGTTTTTTGATATTAAAAACACTAAAATCATTGTTAAATTCAATATTAATCATGAAAATTTTCAGAAAAAATAGCAGCCATTTTGTTTAGCAAAGTTAAGAATAGTGCGCACTACTAATGCGCGCGCAACAATAATATCGAAAGTTAAAATTTTGAGGTTAATAATGCTGACATTTGGTTATAGTGAGAAGTATGGTTATGTTTATTATAAAAAACAGTTAAATGTAGTGTCATTAATATTAAGATTAATAAAAATGAAATTGACAGCTGATAATTTCTAGGATTTTCTTCAATAAAAACTATAAAAAAAAAAAATTTTCTAAAAAATTTCACTTGCAGATGTTTCAGAAAATATATGTAATTTTTTTTTTTTAATATTTTCTTAGTAATTTATTTGTAAAAATTCTGAAAACTGATGTCTGTTAATTTCAGTTTAATGATATTAAAAACACTAAAATCATTTTTAAAGTTGTTAATTCTGTTATTAGAAGCCATTTTGTTGAGCTGTCAAAGTTTAGAATGGTGCGCACTACTGATGCGCGCAACAATAGTACCAACAGTTAAAAACTTGAAGTTATTAATGCTGACATTTGACATTATTGGAAATTTTTTTATTGTAATTTATTCGTTACAAATAATTAACAGTTGCTAACTTCAGTATCACGCTATTTTACTATAGTAAAAAGTATGGTTATGTTTAACTATAAGAAACAATCGAAATGTCTCATTAATATTAAAATCAATAAGAAAAATTCTGAAACTAACTTACATTTAATAATTTCCATAATTTTTTTACACATAAATTATTAAAAAAAAAAAAGTTTTCTAAAAACTTATTGATGTAATTTTTTTCAAAATATTTTCTTAGTAATTTATTTATAAAAACAGATTTTCTCTAATTTTAATTGAATAAGAAATTTTATTAATATTAAAAACACTGATCAATTTCAATATTAAATATCAAAACTGTCAGAACGTTAATTTTGTTATCAGTAGCCATTTTGTTTATCTGTCAAAATGAAGACTATAGTGCGCACTAGTGATGCGCGCGCAACAATAATACCAATTGCTAAAATTATATATTCATATTATTGAAATTTGACTATAGTAAAATAGTATAGTTTATGTTAACCATAAAAAATGTGTCATTAATATCGACCATTAAAATCACAAAAATTTCTAAACAATTACTAGTAAAGAGCTTGATAGTAAAACAAAAAAATCTCATTTACGTAATATCATTATTATGTACTTAATTATTATAATTAATTGTAACACTAGTTAATATTAATATTAATAACTAAAACTAAACGAAAGTCTACATAACCGAAAAAGGGAATCAATTTTGTAACTAAAATAATCTGTGCCTTACACACGCCTTATTTTAACAAAAGTAATTTAAGTATAAGTAGTAACAATTATCAATCAACTAATCATTCCACGTACACGAATTAATTTTTCGGTAAAATATTATTAATTAAAATAAAATATAAATGCAAGTCGTTTTAAGAGCGTTAATAACGCCAAAGAAAAATTAATTTACGAACGCCGATGGCAGCTAAAAAATCAAAGTGATTTTTGTATTTAAAAATATTCGCTTATATAATTATTATTATTATTTATAATTTCAACGAGAATTTAATTAATTTTCTAAAAAATAATTGACCATATAGATAGTTAGATTAGTTTAATTTAATTTACGGAACAGAGGTATTAAATTTAAAAAAAAAAAAACAATCATTGTAATTTGTATTTATACACTAGCGTATTTTTTATTTACATAATTATTAATTACCTAGTAATTAATTTAAAATGAATTATTTTTTTGTCGAAACATTTTTTCGCTTCCAGATTATTTACTTTTTTTACTGAAAAAATCTTTCAAGACTGAAATTTTTTATTTTCTTTTTTGATCTTCCATTATTTTGATTCATGCATTTATTGAACAATTATTCACTGAGGATAATTGTTTTAAAAGTATTTACAATATTAAAAAATAAGATGCGTTAATTTTAGAGCTAACTTCTTAGGTTGCGGAACAAAGTTTAAAATTTTTAGGTTAGAGAGAAACAATGCGACTTTTTTAGGGTTAATATTGTTTTTTTGAACATTTGCAGCTCAGATCCGAACAAAGGCGACATTTTTTAGCGTATTAGTGAACAAAGTTTGTACTTTTAGGTTAATAAAACAAAGCAATATTTTACTAAGAAGAAATTTGAGGTTAAACAAAGCAATGAAGAAAAGTTAATCATTAATGAGCTCTAAAATAAAGTATCTTATTAATGTTGACGATTGTTAATTATAAATAAATAGTAAACAATAAACAATGTTACAACGAATAAGTAAAGTAAAAAATGTTTAAATACTGTTGAAGAAATGGAAAATATGTAATCTTTGTTTTTTTATAAATTTACTAGTTTTAAGTCGATTTAAAAAATTACAAGCCCGAATTAAATATATTTTATAATTAGTTAAAAATAAATAGTTTTACATAGTATAGTTATATTACTATTCGTGATACTTTTATTTTTATATAAAAAAAAAATTCCATTAGATTTATTGTAATTAGTGATAATTTTTTTGTAATATTATAGTCATAAATAAAGTAAATAAATAAACAATTTAAAATATTTGTCAGAAGTATTTTATTTATATAATTGATATTTTATTTAATATATATATTGTGTAAAAAAATATAAATACTTATAATTAATAATTGCTACAAAAATATAATTGCTCAAAAAATTTGGCAGTTTTTATAAAGCACTTGCTCTTAAACAAGTTCTTCTGACATTCTAATAAATAATTTCTAAATTTATAATATCTTAATTAACATGATTATAATTTAAATTTACATTTTTTTTTTAAATATTAATAATTTAATATATTAAATCAATATTGTTTAATATATTAAATATAATTTACAATATTTTTTAAATTTCTAAAATAAATTATTAATTTTTTTTTATAATTTTATATACAATTTATGAATAATAATTGAAATTACTATCGAAGCCCAGCGAGTTTGGCATCTTGAGGTTCGATTCGATTTTGAGCTACACGAATCTCTAACCTCTCTTGATTGTGGTGCACTGACCATAATTTCGGTAAGTACTTAGGTTCCATTGTTTTTAAAAAATGCTCACGCCACAAACGCTCCAGTTCCACTAGACCTTTTTCAGACTTTGTGAAATATTCTACAACCTAAAAAATATAAATAATTAATTAAAAATTGTATTAAAGCATAATTTGAAAAAAAAAAAAAAATAATCTTAAAAACAATTTTTGAACAGAAAAACGGAGCTTTGTTCTATTTTTCTGAGGTTATGTTGCCCATCGGGTCCATTCGTTAACTTTCGTAACTATTCGGGTCTCACCGTCTATATTTGGAAGTACTCGGCAGCCAATCAGAAGATTTCTGCCATTTTTTTGTCAAAAAATGATATCAAAATGCGAACAAAGTGTTTTTTATAGTAAACTAACAAAAATTAAAGAAAAAAAAAAGAATTTTTTTTTAACAGTTTGTTAAATTGATTGAAAAACAATTTTAAATTGTAAGTCTGTCAAGAAAACAAAAAGAAGCAATTAAAAATTATTTTACATAATTGTAAGTAAAATTAAATACATAAAAACAATTATAAAATAGAAAAACGAAGCTTTGCTCTATTTTTCTAAGGTTATGTTGCTGGTCGGGTCTATTCGTTAACTTTCGTAACTATTCGGGTCTCACCGACTCTATTCAGCAGTACTCGCCAGCTAATCAAAAGATTTCTGCCATTTTGTTGTCAAAAAATGATATCAAAATGTGAACAAAGTTTTTTTTTTACATCCAACTAACGAAAATGAAAGACGAAAAAGAATTTTTTTTCAAGTGTTTGTTAAATTAATTACAAGATATTAATTGAAAAAAAAATTCTTCACGTTCAAGTCTGTCATAAAAAAAATAAGCAATTAAAAATTATTTTAAAAAGTAATTTTGAGAAAATTATTTTCAAACATAATTCTAAGAAAATTAATCATGAAAACAATTATAAAACAGAAAAACGGAGCTTTGTTTCGTTTTCGTGAGGTTATGTTGCCAGTCGGGTCTATTCGTTAACTTTCGTAGCTATTCGGGTCTCACCGACTATATTCGGCAGTACTCGGCAGCCAATCAGAAGATTTCTGCCACTTTTTTTATCAAAAAATGATACCAAAATGCGAACAAAGTGTTCTTTATATCAAACTAATGAAAATAAAAGTAGAAAAAAAATTGTTTATTGAAAATTAATTAAATTAAACGAAAAATTTTAATTGAAACAAACCTTGAGGCCGTGAAGAGGTTTAGAAACTTGATGAATAGATGAGGTACTATCACTCATAAGTTTCTGATGAACAATATCAGTGACCTCAGGCGTTATTTTGTCGTATCCAGTGAATTCTAGGACTCGTGACTCCAGTTCTTTTCTTCGGTGACGCGGAATCGAAGGATTGTTGTCTCTCAGAACCTTGACGGCGGACATAAGTTCGCGCTTGCGATGGTACTGGTCATTCCTGAGTATCAACGGCTTTGACAGAGGCGCGTTGCACATTTTAGCCAATGACTGTCTCATCGCGAGGTCGCTCCTGTTGCTGATTTCGTGACACCTCGGGCAAAGAAGAAGGACATCGTGTGACTGGTGAGATTTCATAACCACTAAAAACACAAAATTTTATTAATTTTTTTGTTCTATATTTAGAAGTAAGATGGGTTTATTAATTAGTTTTTTCAATAGAAAATTCAAGCAGTTTTATAGTAATTTATCTAATTTAATTATTTATTTATATTGATAAATTCAATCACCCGGACGACACACCAATTATTGACAGTCTGACAACAATCAGCTGATCGAATTAGTGACAGGTACCTGCGCTAATTATTTACACCCATACAATATACTCAACTATATTAAATTAATATTCATTAATTATTTATCATTAAAATAATTCATAAAGATTTTAAAAATAAATTTATTAAATAAAAATAAAAAGATAAAGTTTTAATTAGTGATAGCAATAATTAAGAGAATATTTAATAAAATAAAATGTTGTATATTTTAAGTTGCTTTAAAGCTTGCTGACGTATTTTGTTGGGGTCTAAAAAGTTAGGTTAAAGGCGCTGTTTAAACCTAACCTAACAATAACAGATCCTACTGAACATATATATATTTTATCTACCAATTATTGAGAGCCATTATTTTAAAATTAATAACCACTAAATAGATTGTAAATATTATATAATATTGTTGATTGTTCGATATTTATTTTATTTATAAACCAACAAAGTTTAATGTGAATAGATGAAAAAAATAATTAAAAAAGAGGGTTTTAAAATAGTAGTTGTCTAACCAAAATAGGTTATGAATCAGACACTGAGGAGTTGTTTCAACAAACTCGAGCTAACCTTTTTTCTTTTATCAATAAATATTTTCCATTTAACCCAACAATTAATTTTATAAAAATTATTTAAATTCCAAAGATTGCATAAAAAAAATCTACGATTGCTATTAACACCCTAGATAATTAATTAAATTTTCAAGTAGGGTCTCAATAATTGGGTCCAGGTCAATAATTGGTGCTTTTACCTGAAATTAAAAGTAACTATAATTAAAAAAAAATTTTTAAAAATACCAACATGGAAAATATTTGCGGTACTCTCTCGGAACAACGTTTTTCTTAATAAACTCGTCCTCAGTACCACAAACAACGCACTGGTTGAGCTTAACCTGGGTGTAGTACTCTCCAACCTGGCCCAAAGCTCGCCCGGAGGGTTCAAACTTCAGCCTGATGGTCAGCGGGTCCTCCTTGACCTTAACCCCCAATTCTTTCATCAGGTACCACTCGGCTTTTTTCCTGTCGCAGGTGCAGAGTGTTTCGCCATCTGGGGCCTCTAGATAGCAATTGTGATACAAAGGTTCCTTGCGGGTCGGTACGTTCGCTCGTTTGCTGTTCTCGTAATTAATGTTGTAATTGTTCAATTTTTTAGGACGTTCACTGTCAGCTGTTGGAGCATTGATCGTTTTTATTTTCTTACTTGGCCCTCGATACCTTTTAAAAATTTGATAAATTTTGTTCATTAATTTTATTTTCATTAGACAATAGGCAAATTAATTGTTGAGGATTTAATTGCATTAATTACTCACCTGATGTCAATAGTATCCTTGGGAATATCGTGCAAAACGTATGAATTTCTGGACCAATTTTTTTTAATGAATAAAACAATCTTACTCCAAGTTGACTTTCTTTTGTCGGCTTCTTTCATGATCTGTAACATGAAAAATTATATAAATGAAATTGGAATAATATATAAAATGATAACATTTAAATTAATTATATTAAAATTATTGTATTTTAGTAAAATAATCAATGATATTGCATTAGAATTCATATTGAAGGTCCTATTTTATAATAAAATACGATTTTGACTGCATTCGCATTAAAAATCAATGTAATATAATTTTTTCTTCAATATTTGGGTAACTTTGGTAGTATTCATTAGCAATAGTCCATAAAAATTCCGATTAAAGGTTCTGTTGAACAACAAAGGAAGATTTCAGACTGCATTGATGTTTAAAATTAATGTAATACAGTATTTCTTCTAATTTTTTAGTAATTTGTGTCACTAATATCCCGCCAGAATTCTAATTAAAGGTTGCCTTGTATATTAATTGACCACTTTTAGTGCATTGACACACAATGTCGATGCAATATAATTTTTTTTTACGTATTTCTAGTGTTATTTGTTAATAATATTGCATTGAAAGTCCTTTTATACGATAAAATACGATTTTCACTGCATTCAAAACCAATGTAATATAATTTTTTTTTCTTTAATAGTCTTAGTAATCTTAGTAATGTGTGTCGGTAATATCAAGCCAGAATTTTCATTAGAAGTTCCCTTATATAAAAATAATAATTGACGATTTTAGTGCATTGACGCTAAAAATCAACGCAATACGATTTTTTCCATTTTTGCTTGTAAATTCATTAATAATTATCAGTTATACACAGAAAAAAAAGTCATCTTGAGTCAAGTAATATTTACTTGATCCAAGTATATTCAACTGAAGATAAAATATATTCTTGAGTTGAGTAAATTTTTTTCTTGTTTTGGTCAAATCTTGGTTTAAGCAAATATTCCCTAGTTCTAACAGGCTTACCAACTTAAGTGAAGAAAAAAAACTCTTAATCCAAGTAAATCATTCTCTTGGTTTTTGAACTTGCTTGATGTACACACGGGCGCATCGAGGCCCGAGTAGGACAGCAGCCGCGCGGAAACCCATTTTCAACATTAAATAAAAATTATTGTTTATGGAGCTACACTGTTAAAAATTTTTGTAAAATTACAATCATATTACAAAACAAATGATATGTAAAATTACAAATCAGTGTATAGCAATGCTAAATAAAATACAATTCATGTAATTTTCCAACACCTGTCAGGAAATCTACTAAGATGTATTGTAATTTTACAATATTCTTGTATAAACCTAACACGCATTGTAATATTACAGAACTGTTCGTCAATTTTTAAGAAAAAGCTTTTTAATTTTGCAAACATTATTTGTAATTTGATTCGGCATAATTGTATGTAAAATCATTAAAAAATATTGTAATTTATATTACAATAATCACATAAAAAATTTAAAAAGCTTTTTTTTATTTTTACAATTTTCATTGTAAAATTACACAGTACAATGTAATATTACCAGAAAATTTTATTTATATTACACGAATAGTAATTCTACTTGACTGTTTTCCAATTTTAAAAA